ATCCCAAGAAATTTAAATTTGAAGAAGACGTTCCTTTGGGATAAAATAACTTAAATGAATGAATTTTCTAGTTCGGTGCCCCAACTCGTCTTCGGACTAACAAAAAAGTGCAATGACCAACTAAAATTTCAAAACTGCCGAAAAAATCAACAGTTATACAAATTGAAACGTGATTGATAGGTTTGGTCTCGGTTAGTCTCTGTCCTATGACCTCTGTATTTTCCATCGTTCTCTGATGTGTTTATAAATATCATCCAACTCGACGTGCCGGTTGATGCATGAGTCGTCGGAGTGCATGGCTTCGAGGAATTCTCGGCCATTTTTGGAGTGGCAAACTCCGACGATGCGTGTTTTATCCCATGCAAAGGTGTATCCTGTGTCGAAGCAATGCATGGCCACGTCGGAAAAAACGATCATGTCTATTCATGGCCGATTGGTGCTCGCGGATGCGCGTGGAGACGGCACTACAAAATCTCTAAGTGATTATTCCGTCAACTTCATCCACTTACGAAAGACTGCGGAACTTACATTCAGAACTCTACCGAGCTTCTGCAGAAACTAAGGGGAGCCACAGTCTCCAATGATGAGGTAATGGTCTCCTTCGACGTTATTTCCCTATTCACTTCCATACCACTTGATGTAGAAAGGCAATGTACAGAGGAAGCCCTGAGGACCTACGAAACGAAGGTTCCTGCGGGCGCCTTACTTGAACTTGTGGACCTTTGCCTAGGAACTAATTTTTTATTTGATCATCAATACTATCAACAATTAAAAGGAGCTGTAATGGGGTCACCCATATCTGGATTCCTTGACGAAATAACGATGCAGAAACTAGAATCAGCGGCCCGTCCATCGATTAACCCTAAGTTATGGGTACGATATGAAGACGACACACTTGTTGTCGTTAAAAAAGAGCAACTCGAAGCGCTCCAAAATGCCATCAACTCAACTATTCCGGACATTCATTTCACACTCGATAAAGGGGTTAACAACACACTCCCATTTCTGGATGTTTTCGTGCAGCGAAATACTGACGGAACATTACCAACATCCGTTTAGCGCAAAGAAACATATGCGGAAGTTATTCTAAACTATGAGAGTAACAACCCCATTTCTCATAAACGGAGTGCCGTCAATAGTCTGCTACATCGAGCAAAGACACACTACTCTGAAGAACAAATCTACCGAATGGAGCTCAATTACTTGTTTGATTTGTTTTCCCGAAATGTTTACCCCAAAAACTTCATACGCCGATGCATGAAACAACAGCAATGCGACAAAGAGGAACCCGATATTTCCCCTCAAGCGCCCAACACAAATACATGGCGAGGAACTCGTTGAAAGACACTTGCGGAAACACCAAATAAAAGTGCCGCACAAACCGATGGCTTCTTTACGAACCTAGCTAGTATACCCTAAGGATAGGGTCAGTTACCTCAATAAGAAAGAAGCCATCTACAAAATCCCATGTGGAGGTTGTTATACTGTATATTGTGGCCAAACAGGAAGAACCGTCTCCACGCGCATCCGCGAGCATAAATCGACCGTGAATAGACATGATCGTTGTTTTCGAAGTGGCCATACATTGCCTCGACACAGGATTCACCTTTGCATGA